TAGGGACGATAAAGTTAATTAGTTCAAAAGTTAAGTTATGTGTAGTTTTCCTTGAGTTATCAAGGACATTAATGTAGATGTATGCTTAGGTTGATTTACATGTAGACTATATTTTTATAAATCGATGAAAAGGGTGAATGGGTGAGACAGGCAGTACTCGTAACTGGCTCACTGGTGACTTAGTACAAGTGTAGCTATCTATTTGTAAAAACAATTAAACAAGTAAACTCACAATGGGCATTGCATCTACGTACATGCCATGCCCGTCGGCAAGGCGTTAATTAACAAACCTCCATCATGTATATTTTAGGAAGTTTTTACAGCCACTATCATTATTATTATTGTTATTATAATTACTATTGTTATTACTGTTATATTTTTTTTTATTGTTACCATCTAGAAAGCATAATGATGATGATGATGATGATGATGATGATGATGATGATGATGATGATGATGATGATGATGATGATGATGATGATGATGATGATGATGATGATAATGATAATGATGATAATAAAATCAGTACTAATGGTAATAGTAATAATAATGATAATAGTAAAGATAATAATATTTAAATATATTCTCTCACACTTTCAGGATCCCTTCGATGGAGAGGAATTTGTGGAGCGACTAGCATGGCGTGTCAATGCCAGCATCTCCCCCCCAGGCAGCACAGAGATCGGCTTCAATCCCGACCTCTTGCATGATGCATTCACACAGGCTATCAAGTAAGCCTGTGTGGTTCTTTTATCACTCTCACTCACACTTACACGCACACCATGAACACTGTGTTTGTCTCTCTGTCTCACTGTCTTTCTGTCTCTCTGTGTCTTTCTCTCCCTAACTCTGCTTCCCTCTCTCCTTCTCTCCCTCTCTCACTCTCTCCCTCTCTCCCTCTCTCTGGCTCCCCTCTCTCCCTCTCCCACTATCCCTCCCCTTCTTTCCTGCCCCCCTCTCTCCCTCTCCCCCTCCCATTCTCTCCCTCTTCTTCTCCCTCTCCCTCTCCCTCTCCCTCTCCCTCTCCCTCTCCTTTTCCCTCTCCCACTCCCCCTCCCATTTTCTCCCTCTTCTTCTCCCTCTCCCTCCCCCTCATCCTCTCCCTCTCATCCTCTCCCTCTCCCTCTCCCTCTCCCTCTCCCTCTCCCTCTCCCTCTCCCTCTCCCCGAATAGATAGAAGTATAGATGAAATTGGTTTCGTAAAATGAATTGATATAATTTTTTGGCTGTCAAAATGCCAAATTTTACGTTTATGTTTATTTTCAAATTTTCCCAGGGACCTACAGCTCCTTGACGAGAGGACAGCGAAGAAATGCGAGCGTTTGGAAGCGGCCGTGCGCGAGGAAGAGGTGAAGCACTGGCAGAATGTGGCACAGCTCCTGGACAACAATCGGGTGAGTTGTGCTTGTGCATTTGGATCTCTGTTTGTTTCTCTCTCTGCCTCTCAGCCTCTCAGTCTCTCAGCCTCTCACAGTCTCTCTGCCTCTCTTTTCCTCTCTGTCTCTCTGTTCCCTTCTCTCTTTTTCTCCCCTGTCGCTCCCTCTCTCTCTTTCTCTGTCGCTCCTTCTCTCTCTCTGTGTGTCTCTCCCTCTCTCTCTTTCTCTGTCCTTCCCACTCTCCCTCCCTGCCTCCCTCTCTCTCTCCTTCCCTCCCTCCCTCCCTCTCTCCTTCCCTCCCTCCCTCCCTCTCTCCTTCCCTCCCTCCCTCCCTCCCTCCCTCTCTCTCTCTCTCTCTCTCTCTCTCCTTCCCTCCCTCCCTCTCTCCCTCTCCCTTTTTATCTCCCTTTTTCTCTCCCTCTCCCTGTCCCTTTTTCTCTCTCCCTCTCCCTTTTTCTCTCTCTCCCTCTTCCTTTTTCTCTCCCTCATGTTTTTCAAACCGCACATTTGAACCCCCCACTTTTTCCCCTCTGTCGCAGGAGGCCTTCCAGAGCTTCCAGGATCTGGACAGCCACATCAACAGCGTGGCCACCAAGGTCGTGCACTTGGGCGACCAGCTGGAGAGCGTCAACACCCCCCGGTCAAGAGCCGTCGAGGCCCAGCGGCTGATGAACCACTTCCGCGAGTTCCTCCTGCCGGGGCCCTTGGTGTCCGAGGTGTTCACGGACAAGCTGAAGGTGAGGTTAGGTGGGATGGTTGGCTGGTGAGGGGAGTGAGGTTTTTATGCGTTGGGGTTTTTTATGTGTGTAGGGTAAGGTGTGTGTGTGTGTGTGTGTGTGTGTGTGTGTGTGTGTGTGTGTGTGTGTGTGTGTGTATGTGTATGTGTATGTGTATGTGTGTGTGTGTGTGTGTGTGTGTGTGTGTGTGTGTGTGTGTGTGTGTGTGTGTGTGCATGCATGCATGCGTGCATGTGTGTATGCATGCATTATATTCTTTGCTGATAATTTCATTTAGTTCATTTTCGTTTTATTTTCTACACTGAATATTTATGAGCATTTCAAAATAAGGATTGGCTTTGTTGTCCTAGAATCGTAAGGTAATTATTGACCCATTGATTTTTATCTTTCAGATATATGAAGCAGCTGACGTCATTCAGAAACTACACCTAATAGCTCAAGAATTACCCTCCGGAAAGTATGTTTCGATAGTCACAAATCGTATTATATGGTGGAATGTGTGAATGATGTTGTATACATTGTTGATATATATTTTTTTTCCATTTGAGATATATTTATGTTTTTTTGTTTTGTTTTTCACTCTCCCTTCCTGTCCTATGCTTCACTGGTTTCCCTCTTTCTGTCTCTCTCTTCTTCCTTCCCTCACCCTCTCACTTCACCCTACTCCCTTTACTGTCCCCCTCTCTTCCTCTTCCTTTTCCTCTGTCTCTGTCATTGTCTCTGTCTCTCTGTCTGTCTCTCTCTCTCTCTCTCTCTCTCTCTCTCTCTCTCTCTCTCTCTCTCTCTCTCTCTCTCTCTCTCTCTCTCTCTCTTTCTCTTTCTCTTTCTCTCTCTCTCTCTCTCTCTCTCTCTCTCTCTCTCTCTCTCTCTCTCTCTCTTTCTCTTTCTCTCTTTTTCTCTCTCTCTCTCTCTCTCTCTCTCTTTCTCTCACTCTCTCACTCTCTCACTCTCTCACTCTCTCCCCCCCTCCCCCCCTCCTTCCCTCCCATTCCCACTCCCACTCCTTCTGTTTCTTCTCCCTCTCCCTCTCCCTCCCTCCCTTCCTCCCTTCCTCCCTTCCTCCCTTCCTCCCTTCCTCCCTTCCTCCCTTCCTCCCTTCCTCATCTCCTCCTTCCACCTAACCTCCCGGCCGACCCCCAAGGTTTGAGAACGCCAAGCAGAAGATCGGCGAGAAGTACGACGAGATCGAGAGGTCGCTCATCATGGAGTTCGTGAAGGCGCACCGGGCAGGAGACAAGGACCGCATGAAGGAGATCGCGGCCATCCTGTCCCACTTCAAGGGCTACTCGCAGTGCGTCGACGCCTTCATCGAGGAGGCGCAGCATGTGGGTCCCATGGGTGTTGCTGTGGTTTGTTACCGTCCGCGTTTCGTTCCTGTAGGTTGCGAGGGTGGTGGTGGTGGTGGTTGTCGGTGGTGGTGGTGGTTACGTAGGTATTTTAACACCGGTGTGGTTGTGATCGCGATTGTTATGGTCGTGGTCTTAGTTGTTCTAACTGTTGTTGTTGTTATCATTAGGATTATTGTTGTTACTGCTGTTAATGAATATTCTTATTATTTGTGCAATTGTGATTATAGTTATTTTTATTATTTCGATGATGATGGTAGTTATTGTTATGTCTGTTAGTATCTCAGTAATATTAATCATTTATAAAAGAGCCTTAGTTGTATCTGTCAAACTGGTTAACTGGGTCCTGCCTATCGCCGACAGGGAGCGCTGAGATCACGAGACTTGTTCCTGGAAGTGGTCCCGCTGTGCCACCGTTCCGAGACGCTCATCAACGAGGTGTTCACCAACCCCGACCAGGTCATGGGCAAGTTTGTGCTCAATATCTTCCAGGGTCAGCTGCAGGTAAGCTATATATGTATAAGTTTTTTCCTTTTACTGTTTAGGGAGTTTAAAATTTTTTTGTGAAGATATGTTTAGAATTTTATTCATTTTTCTTTTTTTTTATATGATTATTACCTTTTATAAGGTTATTAATTTTGCTTATTTTTTTTATTTGCATCTGTATTTATCTGTTTTTTGAATCCTTAACTTGTAATGATACATGATTTACCATCAGCCACTTACTCCTCCTCCATCTTCATACTGCCTTTATTCCCCATTTATCACTCTCTCTCTCTCTCTCTCTCTTTACCCCCAAAGGAGTACATCCAGGCGAGGTTAGACAACAAGAGTGTGCCGGAGATGTACCTGCGCAACCTCCACGACCTCTATTGCCAAACGGTGAAGCTTTGCACAGAGCTGCAGCGCTTTAATCTCGGCAACGACTCGCAGTTCCTCTCCAAGCTGACAAAATCCATCTTCCAGCGGCACTTGTCGTCGTATATCAGGTAAGGAGGAGGAGGAGGGGGGGTGGCGGGAGGAAAGGCCTTTGGGGTTCTGAGGTTTTGTGGTTGGGCCAGGGGGGGTGGGGGGTGGATGTGGGCTTGTGGGGGGGGAGGAATGTGTGTTTCTGTTTGTCTTTCTTGCTAATTTCTTTTCCTATCTTTCTTTTTTTTCTCTTTCTCTTTCTCTTTCTCTTTCCCTTTCTCTGTCTCTCAGTCTGTCTCTCTCTGTCTGTTTCTCTCTGTCTGTCTCTTTCTCTGTCTGTCTCTTTCTCTGTCTGTCTCTGTCTCTGTCTATCTCGGTCTGTCTCTGTCTCTGTCTTCTGTCTCTGTCTCTGTCTCTGTCTGTCTCTGTCTGTCTCTGTCTCTGTTTCTGTCTTTGTCTCTGTCTGTCTCTGTCTCTGTCTGTCTCTGTCTCTGTCTCTGTCTCTGTCTCTGTCTGTCTCTGTCTCTGTCTGTCTCTGTCTCTGTCTCTGTCTCTGTCTCTGTCTGTCTCTGTCTCTGTATGTCTCTGTCTCTGTATGTCTCTGTTTCTGTTTCTGTTTCTGTTTCTGCCTG